CACCGGCCGCGGCGGCGTGGCCACTCGGCCAGCGCCGCCCGCACCCCGACCAGCCCGCTGTCTCTGCACACTTCCACGAGTGACTCAGTGAGCACCTCCACCCAGGCTCCCCAAAGCCCTGGGAAGGGCAGAGTTGATGCAGATAGAGGCTGGGCTTGCAGCCCGGGAGTGACCACACCGAGGCCGTTGCCTGGGCTTCCTTGGGAGACAGCCAGGCCACGCTCAGAGGGTAGCGAGCAGCCATGCTGGGACTGGTGCCCACGCCGGCTAGGGGCCGTGCAGGTGCCCAGCCCTGTGCCGACAAAGCCCTTCCAACGCCAGCCTTTCTCTGCTGTGAGGGCACCCAGGCTGCTGTCCCGGTCACCCCTCTGAGCTGCCAGGGTGGGGAAGGCCCCCAGGCCCATGCCTGCTCCCCGGTGAGCTGCCAGCACCAGGATACCAGTTTCCAAGCAGGGCCTCCACCAGCCCCAGCCAGCAGCTCTAGGTGGTGGATGCCCAGCACCTGAACGCTGTGGCCCGCTGCTCCCGGCCCCTCCTCGAGGGCCTCAGTGGGCTCTGACCTCGGACGTGGTCATCTCCTCCATTTCCGCCAAGGTGGGGGCCTTGAGCAGGACCCGGGGCCGTGGGCGCTGCGTGCTGCTGCTGGCTCCCGGGACAGACAAATTGATACAGGAACTGGACGTGACGTCCCCAGAGCAAGCATGAAGGATGCAGGGCAGAGAGCCAAACCCTGGGGAGGAGAGGGTGTCTGATGTGCAGAAGGGCCCTCTCTGCTCTGTGGCCAGCACAGCCCCTCTGCGTCCAGACTGAGCCCTGTCAGCACAGGGCAGGGGCTCTCTGGAGGCACCAGGTCCAGATGTGCAACCTGGCTAGAGGGCACGGGGACCCCCGCTGGGGCCACCTGGACCTCCTCTTCCCTCCCTCCTGCTTACCACGAGAGCCCCAGTGCTGGCCCCCCACCGGGCGCAGCGTCCGCTCCTGCTTGATTTCTTCCAGAATCTTCTCATGCAGTGTCCTCTGCTTCTGTGGTAATGGGCGAAGCCGCCTCTCTGAGACCTGTGCAGGTGGCAGGACCAGGCTCAGCTCATGGCGGCCGGCCGGACTTGGGGACACCGGATTCCAGGAGAGCCAGCTGGGCCCACCAGGAGGCAGCTTCGCCCCTGGGCTCTGTGTTCCAGGACAGGGCTGGGGCAGCCAACCTGCTCTTCCCAGGAGGACAGGGCTGAGGGCTGAGGGCCGAGGGCTGAGGGCATACACCAGGGCCAGTGCCCGGCTCGCCAGCCAACTGCTGAGTGGGAGTCTGGCCTGCCTCACTTGTGAAGCAAGTGCGCTAAGACAGCTGGTTGGCCCCAGGACGGTGCCAGGTTCCAGGCTGCCCCGGGGACGGAGACCTGGATGGAGACAGGGTGCAGGGCAGTACCTGCTTCAGCGGAGGCCGGGAGCGGATGAAGTCCAGAATGAGCTCGTGTGCATCCTTCTTCACCCGGGGGGGGATATCCCCATCGACCTGCCATGGAGGGCAGGAGGCACCCACTGAGAGGTCCCACGGGCTCTGGTCCTAGCCACCTCCTGGTGGCCTCTGCCCCCGGGCTCGGCTGCCCCCAGACAGCGCACAGTCGACACCTGGCCACTCTGGCACCCCGAGCACCCCAGGTACGACCCCAGCCCAGCTGCCCCGGCTTCCAGCACTCTGTGGCGGCCGGGCAGTCACCTCGCGGGGTGTGGTAAGAAGGGACAAACATGTGCAGTTGACATTCTGAGCCAGGGCCGGTCAGGAGGGCTGCAGAGGGTCTGCTCAGTGCAGAGCCACACGGCCTCAGCTCTCTCTCCTGCCAGGGGCCAGCAGACCCTTCTCCATCCCCTCCGCCACCTCAGGTGTGTGGGGGCCACTTCTGGGGGCCATTCCTGGGGGTCACTACGGGGGGCCTCCTCAGGTGCACGTAGCCCAGGCGGCCCAGAGAACAGGGACCCAGAGCTGTGGTGGAGGGCACCAGCTCACCATGACCGCATGGCTTGTAGTCAGGGAGGACACAGGACCCAGTGGGACCCCGGATACAGGACCCTGGACATGGGACCCCGGACACAGGACCCTGGACATGGGACCCAGACGTGGGATCCCGGACACGGGACCCTGGACGTGGGACCCCAGATGTAGGACCCCGGACACAGGACCCCGGATGTGAGATCCTGGACGCAGGACCCTGGACGCGGGACCCCGGACATGGAACCCAGGGGGACCCCGGATGCGGGACGGCGGCCGCGGTGGCAAGGGCGGGCTCACCATGACCTTGCGCAGCTTGTAGTTCCGGGCCCGGATGTCCTGCATCAACATCTCGAAGGGCGTGAGCTGGAACTCGGTGGGGAGGGGGTTGAACTCCTGCTCCTGCACCTTCCTGAGCTTCACCCCATGCCGGAGCTCCCGCATGAGCTGGACCCACAGCCGGGCCTGTGGCCAGAGGAGGCAACAGCAGCCCTCACCCTCAGCCCTCCAGGCAGAGAGCATGGGCGGGGCGTGCTCAGCCGCCCTGGGCCCAGGGCTGCCGTCTCACCCAGTCTGTGCGGCCCAGGGTGTCGAGCTCGGCCAGCGGCTTCTCCACGCAGGGCTCATCCTCCCGGAGCTTCTGCAGCATCTGGGAGCACGTGCTCTGGTTAGTCCGGAGAAGGGAAGGGCAGCCCTGGCCCTCAGGGGACACTTCCTCCCCACACAGGCTCCCTCTCGGCCAACCAAGACAGAGACAAGTGGACATCTGGGTCCAGGCATTGGGACTCAGGGAGACAGCTGGGGCAGCCAGGGTTTCATCCTTGGGGTCACCTCGACACGCAGTGCCTAGCTTGTCTCCGTGGCTTCCAAGGGACCCGCACGACACCCTCTGGTTTGCAAGGACACCTGCACCTTCTCCCCCGGGCCCAGGGAGGACACCTGCACCTTCTCCCCTGGGTCCCCGGGGGGAAACACCTGCACCTTCTTTCCCGGGTCCCCAGGGGACACCTGCACCTTCTCCCCCAGGTCCCCAGGGGGACACCTGCACCTTCTCTCCCGGGTCCCCAGGGGGAGACACCTGCACCTTCTGCCCCAGGTCCCCGAGGGGGCACCTGCACCTTCTTCCCTGGGTCCCCGGGGGGGGGGGGGCCCCC